TTGTATCCCATCTTTATCATTTTTACAAATAAAGCAATGAACATATCCAATACATTTTCTTCCTCCTCCTATTTTTCCCACAACAACAACCCTGTGAGATGGTTTGGGCTGAGAGAGAGTTACTGGCCTAAAATCACCCAGCCAGCGTTCATGGCTAAGGCAGGACTTGAACTCATGCTCTCCCTTTCTCTAGCCTGGTACCTTAGCCACTAGACCAAACTGGCTTCCCCCGCCCTCCCATGACCTCTGTAGAGATTAAATGAAATTTAGTTTGCTGTATAAATAGCAATAAGATAATATCTGAACAGGTAAATAAATATTTATAGGAAATATTTAGTCATCCTGTAAATTCTTCCAGGGCTGCATCAAAAAATGCAAGTTCTATTTTAGAGTAAAATATTTACTTACATAACATGATTCTTATTTAAGGAACTTTCTTTTTGGAAAGGATGTGGGTGGACAGGGGGCAGGTGAAGATGGAAAACATTTGAACATTGAATCAAGATGATTAACATGGATTGCCAAGGCTGAAATGTAAGCAGCTGTTAGAGAATAACTAAGAATCAGAGCCAAAGAATCCCACATAACCACAAAATCCATTGTTTCTCAAACAGAATCTCAACCCAAGTAGGACCTGTTTCGAATCTTTCCAGGCTAGGGACCTTGTAATAATTTTAGGTAGATGAGTTCAGTGTAGGGACTTCAGTTGTAGGGACTTCAAAGAAAACTTCAGTTTTGCAACCTTGGTAAATTTTAAGATGTGTGGACTAGAGTTGAAGTCCTCAATCTTAAAGTTGCCAATGTTCAGAAACACTGATCTAGGGTGAGGTTCTGATGACTTGCTAAAAGGCAGCAGTACAAAACTGAAATGTAGCCGTAATAAATAGATATTCTTGGTTGACAGTTCTTATTATATAAGTCCTATTCAAATCCTTCAGAAACATGACTTGGTTGTTTATTTATTGTTTCTTATATAGGGGATTTAATTAATTAATTAATTCAGAAAATATATATGGCTGTCCAACGCAGTCTTGGTGACTCTGGGTGGCTTCCAACTTCCCTGGCCACAGCAATCAAACCAGCCACTTGATGGGCTCCAGTGGTGGGATTCAAATTTTTTTTACTACTGGTTCTGTGGCTGTCTCTTTATGGCCGTGTCTTGGCTTGGTGACTGTGGCAGCAGAAGGAAGCAAAATCCCCATTTCCACCCCACTCTTGGGGCAAGGATACTGTAAAATCTCCATTTCCACCTCACTCCAGGGCAAGGATACTGTAAAATCCCCATTTCCTCTCCATTCCAGGACAAGGATACTGTAAGATCTCAATTTCCACCCCACTCGAGAGCAACGAATATGGTAAAATCTCCATTTCCACCCCACTCCAGGGCAAGGATACTGTAAAATTTCCATTTCCACCCCACTCCTGGGGCAAGGATTCTGTAAAATCTCCATTTCCACCCCACTCCAGGGCAAGGATACTGTAAAATTTCCATTTCCACCCCACTTGAGAGCAATGAATGTGGTAAAATCTCCATTTCCACCCCACTCCAGGGCAAGGATATTGTAAAATCTCCATTTCTACCCCACTCCTGGGGCAAGGATACTGTAAAATCTCCCTTTCCATCCCACTCCAGGACAAGGATACTGTAAAATCTCCTTTCCTTCCCCACCTCACTAACCTGCTTTCCAGATCCATTCTCCTGTGCAGGGCAACAGAAGAAGACGCAGCCGATCAGCTGGGACTCCGATCAGCTGGGATTTGGGAGGCAGCTAATAGATGGGTGTGGCCAGTGATAGGTGGTATTTGGTGATTCTCCAAGCTACTCAAAATTTCCGCTACTGGTTCACTAGAACTGGTCAGAAGTGGGTGAATACTACTTTTGATGGGCTCCATATCATTCTAGAGTCCCCAGTCCTGTAGGCAGAGCCATGTCTTCATGGCATTAAAAAAGAGTGTCAGAGTGTAGGTCAAACCTATCTCTGCAGAGATGACATTCCACAGGGAGAGAGTCACCACAGAGAAGGCCCTCCTTCTTGGTCCCACTAGATGGACCTCCTTAAGAGGGGGGACCTTCCTGAGGGAAAGTTTAGGATTGGGTTAGCAGAGAAAGTACTGAGTCCTGCTTAAAGTTTAAAGGTTTCTCCTGTCCAGTTAGAACTAACTTGAAAGGCCAGTGCTCATCTCTGATTCTCAACCAAGGGAGCCTATGTTGTCTGACAGATGTATCTATCATCAGGTGGCCAGTATGAAAATATAGAATGCCTTCCTGCCAAAGCAGTACCTATTTATCTACTTGCATTTGCTTGCTTTCGAATTGCTAGATTAACAGGAGCTGGGGCGGGTAATGGGAGCTCACACCATTGTATTGTGCTCAGGTCTTTAATTCGCACTGTCGAACTTCAAGCTGACAAGCTCAGTATTTTAACTGCTGAGCCATCCCCCCCCCCACTCCCCAATGAGCCTGCAAAACCCCATGGACAAAGGATCTCTCATTTCCTATCAATACTGACTGGGATCAACCACAGAGGAAGGAAATGAACCAGAGCAACATAGTACCCACCACTCCTGATTTCGCCAAAACTCTCCAGAAGAATACTATGGTTGATGGTACTGAAGGCTGTGGAGAACTCAAATACAGCAAAGATGCATGCACTACCCCATCCCGTTCTTGCCAAAGGTCATCAAAAAGCACACCCAATACCATTATATGGAAGGTTTTTGTTTAACCAATTTGGCTATGTATCATACTCACTGATCCACATCTCTACAGTATCTCATATTTGCTTGAAAAGCAGACATTTCTCATTGTATTTTTTTTCCTGTGAATTAGTTGGTGGTAGCAACAGCACAGAGCCTACATAGAAGTTCTCCCAGATTTAAAATAATTTGCATTACGATGACAGGTCATAAATCAAATGGAGCAAAAACACAGTGAGCCAAGCATTCCAAATAGTTATACCAGAATTGGTTATAGTATATCTAACACTATATGAAGCTTGAAATTTAGATTTTAATAGGGATTAAAATACGGTACATATTTAATTCATTTTTATTTGTAATAAATAATATTACAGCTAAATATGTTTGCACTTAGCAGTGTTACAAAATGTAGTATATTACAAGATGATCGCTTAAACATATCAATATCTCAGAAACTGATGGCATAAATGTCAATCTAATGGAAGTGTTTATTTAAAAAGCTTGCAAAAAGAACGTTTTATCCAGGTTTACTTATGAGCAATTACCATTTGATAATTTTATTTTACTAAGACCTGGAAAAGTATCTACTAGAAATCTTGGAAAGCTGTTATCAGTCAAGATCCATAGAATTTTAATCTAATCTTAATAAGGACATGATGGTTCTGCCATAAACATGGAAGAAGCATGATAGACTCTCTTCACTCTTCCTCACTAGCAGCTGATATGTAAGATAGGCTTCCCTTAATTCTGGACTTAGCAAACAGCCTTCCTCAGACTTATACCCACTTCCATCAATGTATGCATCTCTTTTAAAATAACCTATATGGCCATCAATCACTATGTGTGATAATGAAGCCTGCAATATATTGGTGTGGCCTTTCATAGATAGTATCTCTTGGGCAATGTTGAGCTTCAGATATCAGTTTCACAGGCAACTGTGGCTGGCATCTTCAGAGGCAAGGTGGTTTATGTGGCATATAACTCCATGGACTTTTGCGAGTATGCACCATACAGACTCTGAAGATGCCAGCCACAGTTGCCTGTGAAATGTCAGGAAACTGATCTATGTGACGCATAACCCAAACACTTTATGCACAATTAAAGATTTCATTGGCCTTAAATATACACATATTTGATTTTAATAGCATACTCTCTTTCCTTGACACAGGAATACACAGTTATCCCACAGTGAAAATCTGGTTCTTGGAGACAGGCGAGGCAAGCAGAGTGTGTAACACGCTAGAGCATGTTTTTCTTGCTTTGCAGCCTCCTATGACAGCCGGATGTCTCTTCAGTTGAGCTTACTGGATATTGTGCTTCCTTTATGAAAAATTGCTCTAATTATTTTTGTATAAGTGACTTATAACATATCCACAGCACACATTATTTTACATTTTACCTATTTACTCCTCTTCAAAAGAGCATCAACCAACAGCGTAGATTTTATATTACATGTTGATTGCTAATACAATAGTAATCCATTCTATTAATGACAGCATGACCAAGAAAAAGGTGTTGTTTCAGTTTCAGACTTCATTTGTGCTCCTAGTGGGAAATTCATATTTTTATTAGGCAATGAAGGAAATGTATTAAATATTATTTGAGAGTTTGTTATATTCCTGAAGCAAATTCTGCAGCCCATATAAATTACTTACCGTAATTGGTTTCCTGTGGGGATCAAAGTTATTTATGAAACATTTCTCCCCTATTCACAATATACTTCTCTTTTTTGCTTGCTCTTTCCTAATTAAAAAGATCTTCAAATAAAATATTTATATTTAAGAAAGTGAGAAAAAGATCTAGTCGCAACAATTTTAATGAGGTTACTAGAAGAACCTTGGGAAACATAGTGGGTAAATGTTACTGAATTTTTATTTGTATTTGCATTTAAGCACTATCTGTTGATCAGTAGGCAGATTGGAATTAATTTTCACTATTTTAAACCCTTTGGTTCAATTTATGGTTCAAAAATGTATTAGAGTGTTTATAAGGTATGGGGTTTATAAGATATCTTACTCTATGACAAAATTTAGTTAGAATTGTGAAAAATATTTCAAAGTATTATAAACTTTAAAAGTATTTTAAAATTTTAAAATGTGCCTAATTCTGTGTCTAAACTGCAAAAATGATAAATTAAGAAAGAATATACTGTTCTCGAATGTTTTTGACTGAGAAACTGAGTAATTTGTGCATCTACATTGGAAGATGCTAGCTCTGATTGCTTATAAGTGTATACAAGTATTTTGTATTTAATTCATCAATATAATAAAATAAAAGTGTTTGGTTTTATTTTATCTTAGTATTTGAGAACAAAGATAAAATAGTGATCATCATGGAATATGCAAGTAAAGGGGAATTGTATGATTACATCAGTGAGAGGCGAAGGCTAAATGAAAGAGAGACAAGACACTTCTTCCGGCAAATTGTTTCAGCAGTTCATTATTGTCATAAGGTGAGTTAAAAAATATTTGGAGGTATGTGGTGATAATCTTTGCATTATGTGCACTTTCCTTCATACCCGATTTCAGACTATAAGATGAATTTATATTAGAGCAACTAGGTTTCAAATTAGTGAAGGCCTCTCTCTCAAACAAGTTGGCTTCTAGATAAACAGCAACTCCATCTTTTTAAAAATTCAGTTTCACTCCGTTTTGTTCCATTCCACAGTTTCTACTCCTTTTCCTGTCCAATAAAATGATACCTCATCCTGAACTGACCAATATAGCACAGTCTTTGCTTACTTTGCTTTGCTGAAAAAGGAGATTTACAACCTCAAACCTGCAGCCGTCGCAGGATCCCCATGGTCACTGATCACACATTGGATGCTTGCACACAATCAGTGTGCATTTAAAATAGTCACAGTCTCCTGTGTCACTGCATCACTATTTGCAACCCCCTATAAGCCAACTTTGCATAAACAGAGTCAATGGGGAAGCCTACAGGAAGTTGCAAGTAGTGGCCACGTGATGTCATAGTTAACGATTACAGGTGATTTGCTTCACAACTGCAAACTTATGTGAAACCCACCTCTGATTATATTGTTACAAAGTGATTCCAATAGAATTAATTTACGCTGTAGGGAACAGCATGAAATACATAAAGCATTTTGACGGGGGAAGGCAGACAGTTTTCCACTTAAAACACAGGTTGCAGTTTTTACTTTCATAATTTTAGTGTTAATGAATTTCAAGAAGTTATTAGGTTTCAGACTCATATTTAAGCAGCCTTTGAAGGGTACAGTATAAATCATCATGCCTAAAAAGGCTAGGTGCTAGAATTATCAGGCCTTTTGCGAGTACTGTTCTAACATACCTTGGTAGGGATTGTTTTCTAAAGCCTGGGAAGACTATATTACTTTTACATTGTGAAGGGCAGATTGGGGTTGGGAATTAAGTTCCGAAAAGAGTTCCCCTGCTGTTTTACAGGCTTGGTGGGTGGACAAATTCCAGTCATTCTTCTCCTAACCACACAGCACGTGACTAATGCATCTCCTGTCACTAGTTACTAGTATTATGACTGAAGTGTAAATGCAAAGACCACCCTGATGCTTTGCTTCTTTAATCCAGCCAATATTAACCCCCCTCCTCTAGAATCTCCTGTACATTCATCTGTATGTTTTCTTTATTTCTTCTTTCAGAACGGTGTTGTTCACAGGGATTTAAAACTGGAAAATATTCTTCTTGATGACAATTGTAACATCAAGGTAAACTTTCTTCATAATCTATCTGTCTGTCTGTCTGTCTGTCTATCTATCTATCTATCTATCTATCTATCTATCTATCTATCTATCT